AAAAAAAACCCACAAGAATTAAAGTCTGACTTCAAATTCCACTAGAATCAGGAGACACCAACATGCTGTCAAAACTCTTATAACCACGCATGACAAGACAATGTTAACTAGTAGCAGGTGATGTAAATGACGCCATAGTGAACCAACTTTTTGAACAATTTGTTAGTAATGGCAATAACGGAAAGCATTGAACTGCCACGTTGTTGCTTTCATTTTAGCTTATAACCCGTTAAATTTTCAAATTCGATAAAGTAGTGGATGGATAAAACCATACATAAGGTCCTAAAGTTGTTGCAGGATTTGATTTGGAAGAAAAACCAAACGATGCGTTTCTAACTTTATTCTGAATCCGCAAAACACAAACGTATGGGTTGGGCTTAGGAACCCGATCTATATGAACAAAATCACATTGCCCAAACCAGATGATATAGCAATTGAATTAGAAAAATACGGACGCTTGAAAATGAGAGTATTATATGGGTGAGAGTAACAGAAATGGAGTGAGGGGAGATATCGACAGCACAACACCTCAAGTGACGAATGAAGATGATTCACACCAAGTTTAGTTGTTAACATGAAGATGAATGATGATTGAGACAGCAAATCGCCAAGTAAAATGCAGCCTGAGCGACTGAAAAAAACGATGGTCTAGAGAAGGCAGATGGGACCAGAATGAAAAAAAAAATCGCATATCTACTCGGGCCGCTTCTCCGCATGCTTCTTAGTGAACTCCTCCGCAGTTTTATTAAACTTTTTGCGGTCTTTACTGAATTCTTCCGCCAGATCTGCTCGAAGTGGATGATCAGGCTCAGGCTCATGGATCAGTGCCAGCAATGCCATCATAACTGAAAAGCATAAGTCAACATACAATTTCTGTCAGACCGAACCATACACACGCATCGCCATACTACTGTTTTATCAGCTAGTACTGATTGAATCACTAACTGCCGTGAAAAAATATTCCATAATTTTCATTTTGATGACAGGAATAGGAAATGAATATATAAGATAGCAGTCTAAGAAAACTTTCCAGGGAGGCACGGAGAAAAATCAGCAAAAGAGGACGCAGATTGGGACGGGACGAGTCTTATTTTCTCTGATTTTATT